TACTCCACCGCGCTTACCTCGCTTCCTTGACTTGTAAGGCAACTCGCCAGAGGGTTTACCTTTTCCAATTGACTGTTCGGCAAAACAGCTGAGATCAGGAAAAGTTAAATCCAAAGGAGGTTCATTAGCTTGAAAAGTATTCCATTGCAGGAGAAAATCTATGCTGCACTGGATACGCGCTGGATTAGGGCAAATAGGCAGCCCTACTCTTCATCTCACTCAAAGTTTGCGCCAAATTAAACGCCGTCCACAACAGGAATAAAACTGTCCATTCCATATTATCTTGCTTCCTTATAAAACCACTATAACACGAAAAAACAAAAACAAACCCCGTATAAAAACACGATAAAATATAAACAAAAAATAAAATAAAAAAATATGGCTGATGGTGCTAAAGTTAAAGGTCTGTGTCCTTTTGCAAGAAGTAAAAAGAAAAAACCCTTTGTTATGATTATAGGTGTATCACTAACAGGTTTCTTAATTTTATTCTAATTTTATTTTTACTTTTCTTAAGGAGCTTTGTGCAACTGCACACTGGTGATGTGAGAGTTCAATGTAACGCGCGGCGCGAGTACAACCCTCCCAGTGAATAGCGGAAATGAGCGAGAAGGGAGTGCACTGTTTCTAGATTTGGACAAGTGACCAGAAGATTAGACTCGCTCAAGAGACAGTGTCAACAAGGAGAAAGGCAATGGCGACAACACTGGCTGCGTTAGAAACAGGTAAGATGTATTTGGGGGAAAAAATAATGAATACAAATAAAATAAAGCACTGAAATTTAAAACAACATCACAACATGACACAAAAGAAAAGTAATGGCAAAAATCAAAATAAAGACTTGTTCCAAACAAATTTAATTTTACCTTATTGTGACCGTTTATATATATTTATATTTCCTATTTAGTTTTGTGACTATTATTGATTGTTTCGCAACATGACACAACTCCTTGATTGTGTGGGATTCGAAATCGGGTCCTTGGTCACTATGTAGTTTCTCAGGAAACCCATAGTGTACTAAGAAATTTTCCCAGAGACATTTCGCGACCGTACGAGCTGTTTGGTTCTGAGTCGGTATCGCCACGTCGTATTTCGTGAAATGGTCTGTGATAACCAATATGTTCTTGGTATTGCTGTGGTCCGGCTCTAACGACAAAAAGTCCATGCAGACCAACTCCAAAGGCCTACTGGTTTGAATGTTGACCAGAGGAGCTGCTCTGTCTGGAGGCGTTTTTCTGCGCACGCAGCGTTCACAGGTCTTGATCTTCTTTTCAACAGTTTGGGACATTTTGGGCCAAAAGAATCTGGACCTTACTAAGTCCAGAGTTCTCTCAATACCCAAGTGCCCCATGTCATCGGTCTGGTTGAAACGCTCTACCGGGTTACCCCTGGGGTGGTAAGTCGTGGTACGAATCTTATGAATACCCGCAACATGACACAACTCCTTGATTGTGTGGGATTCGAAATCGGGTCCTTGGTCACTATGTAGTTTCTCAGGAAACCCATAGTGTACTAAGAAATTTTCCCAGAGACATTTCGCGACCGTACGAGCTGTTTGCTTATTAAATTAAATAACTTTTCTAAATGAGTTTTTAATTTAACTTAAACACTTCCTTTTTTTCTCTTTACAGATATTAACAAAATAGAATACTGTTTTGCACAATCATGAATGTTGTAGTTTTTTTTTCAGCAACAGGGTTTCTAGTAATCTGGGTTACATCAAGGAAAAATAATTTGTCTTTAATCATTCAGCTTAAATGGTTAATACATTTATTTACAATCATTAAAAAAAAAAAAAACTTGGATAAAATACCAACGTTGATGAAACTGTCATCCTGTACTGGACTTTCCTTCAGTTATAATAAATCTGAAATATTTTACAAGAGATGAGACAAGTGCAAAAGAAAACAATGAGAAGCGAACAGAAAAAAAAAACAGACATGAGGCCACTAGTAGTTTAAAACAAGAAATTGGAGTTTAAACTTTTTAGGACATACAGACCTTCCACATTATCATATTATATAGCCTTTCACAGTTTGTACTATGAAGCTGATGTAATGTGTACCTGTGAAGCCATAAGGCTATTGGTCTAGACTCAAAGTAGTGTGAAATGCATGTAGTGTGATGTGTTTGTGTAGTTGAGCTGCAGTGAGGGCTGTGGGTGATGAGCTGGGGTTCAGTCTGGTGGGTGGAAAACAGTCAAACTGTGATGCTCTCATGTACTAACAGCAGAGGTGTAAAGTATTGGAGTAAATGTAATTAGTTACTGTACTTGAGTATATTTTCAGGTACTTTGTAGTTGTACTGAGTATCAAAGATATTAGCAACTTTTACTCTTTACTTCACTACATTTTTGAATGAGTATCTGTACTCTTTACTCCACTACATTTGAAATGAGTGTTGCAGTTACACATTACATTTTGCATGGACCTAGCTTTTTCTGCAGCAGTTTATTTCTGCTACAAAAGTGTTTGTTTGTTTGTTTTGTAATTTTGAGGTGTTCAGTTTTACTTTGGTTTTAGAAAATAAACGTGATTGCGCTCCTCACAAATCAACTCTTTCTTGTTTTTGTTTCATGCTCTCTGTGCCTTGCCCTGGACTTTTATGTCAAGTATGGTTTTTACATACTCTTTACACCCCTGGCTAACAGGTGCACACACTGGCACACAGACATTTAAGAAAGCCTTTATGTGATTTTTTAAAACATAGTTTACACAATTAAATGTAAATATTGTTTTAATAGTATTTTCTTTAAATTGATATTAAGTAATAATATCATTATTCATAATGATCAGGCTATACAGCTGCTGCTCACAAAGTACTACATTGTCGTGAAATGTGTGCATATAGTTAATAATAATTTTAAGAATTTGTAGAGCGGCGTTTCAGTGTGTATATTTACAGCTGTGTAATCTGGTCCACTGAAGTTCCCAAGTCTCTTTCTACACTGAACAGCTTCTTCCTGTCAGGGTCTGAACTTTCAACTGCATTTGATCTTCACAACTTTTATTGCATGGAAAATACTAAACATTGCAGAGCTCACATACAATTTAAATGTATGGCATTAGTAATAGCATATAAATATTAGAGTATTGAGGAACATATGGCTTTTAAACCTTAGTAGGCTACAGTATTTGACTGTGTGCCATTGTTGGACTATCTAGTAGCAGAATACACAACATCTGTATCCTCTGTATTTCTGGCACTTATCCTGCATTTTTAAATCTTTTTTTGAATGTGGCAATTAACATTTTTTATTTTTAAACCTTTATTTGAATATGACAACGTAATTTTGCACTCTTCAATATTTCTATGAATAAATCTCTGACGGAGACAATCAGCCAATCACTGTACTTATCCTGCATTTTTAAATCTTTTTTCGAATGTGGCAATTAACATTTTTTATTTTTAAACCTTTATTTGAATATGGCAACGTAATTTTGCACTCTTCAATATTTCTATGAATAAATCTCTGACGGAGACAATCAGCCAATCACTGTGTGCATAGTTAGTAAGCATGCTGACATCATCCATAGCAAGACGTCAACCCCACCCTTTACTCTGAGCTTAAGACTTCTCTCTATTCCTTAGTAAAAGTTTGTCTCAGCAGCTTAGCGAATAGGTTTTAAGAGAAAACTCTTAGCTAAAAACTTTTACTGCTATTTAGGAGAACTCTTAGTGGTAAGATAAAATGTTTTGTGAATACGGGCCGTGATCTGTTAAAATTAAATCACATTTTATTCTAATAAACCACAGATTAGATAAAAGCATTATTGCAAATGAATGTTATGAGTATTAAAGAAAGACAGATGATAAACATCTTTATATGTTATTTCTGTTTCATTTTGCAGTGGTGTAACACTCCTCTCTGCACTATAAATAAAGACTTGAAGTGTATGAGTTATTTAGCATATTAAAACCTTCCACGTTATGATATTATATAGCCTTTCATACCCTTGTACTATGAAGCTGTCAGACATTGCAGGTGCCATGCAGAAATTTGCATTACTCAAGTGATGATGTTTCAGGTATTTCAAAAGATAGAAGGAATTTTGTCATGTGTCTTTTTGAGTTATTTGAAGTCAATTCACCCAAAGAAACTATACTAGCAGAAATTTGCATTACTCAAGTGATGATGTTTCAGGTATTTCAAAAGATAGAAGGAATTTTGTCATGTGCCTTTTTGAGTTATTTGAAGTCAATTCACCCAAAGAAACTATACTACACAGTAATATGTGATGTGTACCTGTGAAGCCACAAGGCTATTGGTCTAGAGCAGGGCTGTCCAAACTCGGTCCTGGAGGGCCAGTGTCCTGCAGAGTTTAGCTCCAACCCTAATTAAACACACCTGAACCAGTTAATCAAGCTCTTACTAGGCATAGAAACTTCCAGTCAGGTGTGTTGAGGCAAGTTGGAGCTAAACTCTGCAGGACACCGGCCCTCCAGGACCGAGTTTGGACAGCCCTGGCATAGAGCATGTCGTTGTGATTTTGTTGTGGTCATCACAGAATTGAGTTCAGTCCATCCTTCATTACCTGTCTCCCACCTGTCGAGAGAGATTTTTGACACATTTACACTGTCTGCTTTCTTCACTAAAAAAATCAGACTGCAATTTTGATGACTGCACAGTTTTATGATCACGTGTTGATTTCCCTTCATCTGCTATGTATGCAGTCAAGAAACACTTACTTAGAACTTAAGAAGGTCAAGTTACCACATGACCAGCACAAAACCACAACTAGCACACTGCCTTTATGTCTATGTTTTTAGAAATAATATTCCCTAAATATACTTCTTTTAAAAACTGCATAAATAAAGGTATTTACTGATGGTAGGTGCTGTACCTATGTGCAGTTATTTGTCTGAGAAATTAAAAGTAGATTATGAAATCATCTCTGAAAGAAAAGATCAGTGGAAAAAAATATATGGTACAGCCCTTTTTGACAAACACATCCTACTGGTTGCTCACATCATTCATTGCATCTCTGGTGATGTTCGTTTTGTCATTGCTCACCTGTTTCTTTCTAGTTTAGGATAAATCCATCCAGATATGATAAACTTCGGATTTTTGCTTCTCTTTTTAATTGGTGAGTTGAACTGTCTTTTATGTCAGAACTAAACTGTATTTACATTAATTTAAGCTAAACAATTTTTTGCTTGTTACTTTTAATATTTTTGTTTAGGCCTTACTGCATCGCACCTAAATAACCCACCTGTGTTTGTCAAACTGGGAGAAACCATTAATATGTCTTGCTCTTACCAAAGCCAAATGGCCATGCACTTCTCATGGTACAAGCATAAACTTGGACAGAATCCCAGGCTCATCTCCACCATTTACAAGTATGACAACAAAGCCCGGTTTTACCATAATTTCCAGAATAGTTCATGCTTCTCAGTGCTGAATGACAAGGGTGTGCATCATTTGGTGATAAGAAACATACAGCTCTCAGACTCTGCTACATACTACTGTGGAAGTGCTTATTCCAATGTAATGGAATTTGTCGAAGGGACAGAATTGATAGTTGAAGGTAATTATAATTTTGAGTAATTTTAGAGTTATTTATAATATTATTATAATATTTGAGGTATAATATTGAGTTATTTTGAGGTTTCAAAATGGTGTTTTGGCAGCAATGCAATAGAATAACTATTTGGGTTCCCAACAGAACCTTTCAGTGAACAGTTCTTAAAAGAACCCTTTTTTCTTGTTGTAAATAATCTAAAGAACCCTTTTTCATTTTAAAGAACCTTTTGTGGAAGGGAAAAGGTTCCATAGATGTTAAAAGCACTTCATGGAACTGTCAATGCCAATAAAGAACCTTTATGTTTAAGAGTTTATAGTGGTGGTAAAGCTATGCTATAACTTTTAAGTGCAATATTGGAATGCAATGTACATGGGTATTCTATACATCTTACATAAAACTCATTCAATAATGGAATTTTTCATGCAGGGTTGAAAAGCTACACTGTTATAAAACAACCTGCTTTAATTCCATCACATCGTGGAGATTCAGTGAGTCTTACCTGCACAGTTTTAAATAATAAATGTGTAGGAAACAACATTGTGTACTGGATCATACAGGAATCAGAAGAATCTCGCCCAACATTTATTGGCGCACATGGAACGAGTATTGGTCAGTGTGAGTGGAGCTCTGAAGCTGGTTTTAGAGCACGTAGATGCGTTTACAGCTTCTCTAAGAAAGACCTTAAACTTTCTGATTCTGGGACTTACAACTGCACTGTTGCTGCATGTGGGGAGATGCTGTTTTGGAATGACACCAAACTGGACATTATAGGTATGTTCTTCAAGAATTAATTGTTTAAAAAGTAGCACTTTTATGGTGTGTTTACATTATATCCACAATTTTGTCTATTTCAGGTGCTGATTTAGCAGAACAGATGATGACTTTTGTAATTCTTTCCATCGTTAGAACATTCCTTCTTTTAATTACTATTGTCATGATTACTTTTTGGTACTGCATGAATTCAAAACGAAATTCAAAAGATGGCTGTTCTCCATCTGCCTTTGCTCTCTGAGATAGACAGTCCCGACCAGAATGAAGACCAGGTCTGTTGAGGAAATCAGCTTCTGATCATCCATAATATGTAACAAAGGATGATAAACAAAGACATAATCTGAACCTATTAACTTTTGTGTCATGCAACGTAATGTTTTTTTCATGACTGTTTCCATATTAGAAATAAACTGTCCAATGTCAAACCATGTTTGTTTCTGGTTCTCAGAGAAGTACAAAACTACCGTGGCATTTACTGTTTTTCAAACTCGTGTCTTGCAAATTAGGTTTAATATCTGAATTAGGCAGAAATGAGAAATGCATACACATTTCAGAGATTAAAATGTTCTCAACTCATATTTTTATTCCATAACAGAGTGGGGATTGGATAGATGTTCTTCGGGACACAAACACGCTTTAAAAATACATTAAACCAATGAATAAACATGTTTGACAGTACAATTTTCCTTTAGGAAATATACACACACTAATCACACAAATAACAAGGGTATTTAAGCCCAGAACATGCTGAACCTCTAGGGTGGTATTTTGTATTGTGCAGGAAACATTCTCGTAACCAACAAATTTGGTAATTTTTCTGATGTGGGCATCTAATTTAGTGACTGTCCAAGCAAAATCTATTAGATGAAGCAGAAATAACAATGAGAATATATGCTTTACCTTCACATGAAAACAATGCAAGTGTTTAAAAGATGCAACAAGCCTAATATTTCATCAGTAAATAAGTCATTACTTTATTATTGTATAAACATACAAAATATGACCGTAAAACGAAAAAGATCAAAATGTAATAAAATGTACAGTACTTCACCCAGAACAGCTATTTAGAATAATTGTGATTTGCAAGTTCTGAACATTCACTTTCTCATCAACATGAATATAATATAGCAACAATCTAGATGTTCTTGGGAAGTATTTCAAATTACACTTACTTAGACAATTAGATGAAATAGACTTACTTGGATAGAGGAGGATGTCTCAATTCAGTGAGCTTTCAGTATAGACGTGAGGAAAAACTGTGATTAGACAACTATTAATATTAAACAAATATTAGGCAACTATTAATAAAGCATAACAAATACAGATAAGAATGCACTTACCTGCAGAGTGTCTCTGTTTTTTATGTTGTTTGACTATGATTATAATAATTATTACTGCAGAAATTATGTTTGAATACACTAAAATGAGAGTCACTGGATTCATAATGTTCTGATCTGCAGAGCACGTATTGCACATAGTTATGTTTTTAAAGTACCAGCACAACATTCATGAACATTCAATAAAATCAATGCTCTGAATATTACCCATGTCAGCGATAGTCAGTTTAGTGACATGTCCAATGATTATTTCTCCATCTGCATCCATGGCACAGTAGTAGGTACCAGTATCAGGGAGTGTGAGGATCCTCATTGTGAAGTTATAAACATTATATAATGTTTGTGTAGCTGCCATTATAAAATAAGCATATTTGTGGCCATCTATAATTCTAGACAGGGATTCTCCTGAGCTTTGCTTAGACATTTTGTGCACAGCCCTCCATAAATTGAACTGTACACTGCAAAGTGATGTTATCACCAAAATTAACAGGTTTTAAATGAGTTTGCTGTAGAATTCTCCTCATATTTGAATGTTTTCCTTAAAAATGTATCCAAAATATAACAGTTCATTGTTTAGATAATCGACTGAATGAGTTCAAAGCTTTGCAGTAATACAACTTAATACTTGTTATCATCAAAAACGTTCCAGGACTGAAATACAATGCTGTGAACTTATTCACGCCACAATAGTAAGTTGCTACATCCTCTTGTGTCATTCTGAAAATGTTTAGATGATTAGTTCCCTGTTGTCACACTGAGGCATCCATCATCAAAGCCTTTTAGAAAATGGACATTGTTCCTATAATAGGACATTGCTATGTGCTGCAGCTTCTTTCCTAATAGTTGCTTGTACCACACAATGAGATTAAAATCTTTTTTGAGAAAATGACATTCTATTGTCACACTGGCTCCAATGTTGGCTTGTTGCACAGGTTTTGGTTGGTTAATAGCTTGGGCTATAAAGCAACCTGAATTTAAAAAGTACATAAAAAATGTCATGAAATAAACAATATATTTGAGAAGAAGATGAAGCAAGGATGATTGCACTTACAAAAAGCAAGGATGATTGCACTGACAGCATGCATCTTTTCTAAGCATTTGCTCATTGTGAAGAATGAGAGACAGGCCACCAAAAGGAAAATGTTGTTTGAGCTGATTGGTAGATGTTGTCAGATGGCAGAGTTGCCTTTCATTGGTTAAAACCACTTAAGCTCAGGGCGTTTTTTGGTATTTTCGCCTAAATTTAACATACTCAAATTCAAATGTTTACCCTACACACATACAATGGATTTTGGACCCGTATCCGGGTCCGCAGAGTTTAACTGGTTTTAACCAAGCAGCCCACTTTATTACGGACACATTTTGACACCATATTTAAACCCACTGGTGGAAGGTTTGTTATTATATATTTATAACAATAAAATTTTATTCTAAACCTAAACTAATCTTAACAAACTACTGTACAGTATGTATCATTTCAAAACCTTGAGAATCTAGTTTCTGTATATATTGATTGAAATGAGCAAAAGTAGTTTATGAATTTGTGACAAAGTACTAATGAGTGGTGACTACAGACTTTTATTTTGAAAATAGCAATGCTCATGTACAATCATAAAAGTTTGGTAGAAACCTCTGTTAGTTTTGCCAAGAGTTTTGAGAAAAAAAATCTCTAAAAATGTTTAGGCTATAAAGAAATATCAATAGATTCTCCATTTATGTCTGAGTTAACTATTTTGTCCGCATGTCCTTTGTCCATGTTGAGCATGTTGGAGGTTGAAATCAAATAAAATATTGCCATACTTCCTATATAACTTCTAAATATAATGTCTACTTCATGAATTCTGTGAATAGTATGGATATATATGGTTTTGATTGCTGCAGTCATGTGAGAAGTGGGTGCATCCATATGCTGTATGGATCGCCAGTGGAGCTTGCAGGTTATTGTAGAAAAGTTTAAACAAATTCAACCTGAAAGCTTTTTTTTTTCTTTCCGATATCAACCTCATTTGGAACACTAATTGTTTAGATTTATGACTTTGATTTTATAGCAGTTTTAGAGTGCAACATGTTTTATAAAGTATATTTATGTACAATATAAAAATGTAGATATGTACAATTTCATAAACTTTTTTAAAATGTACTTTTATAAAAAAAATATGCAAGTAAACTAAGTAAAAACACTGTGATTATTCATTATGAATTAAACTGCAATTAACATTTTAAAAAGTAGTTTTTACATGAAATACATTACTTACAGTTTGCGGCGTCGTTGTTGGGTCCAGAATAGTCGGCACGGCCTGATCTTTGAGCAAAAGTGTTCTGGCAAAGCCAGCATCATACTGTGATTTATTCTCAAAACAGTCGTCCGTGAAATGTAGTGAACACGCGTGTAAATTAACACTGACATGACTGGGACGTTTGCAAAAATAAACTGAATCCATTTTTCCCTGACGTCTGGATCCTTCGGCAACGTATTCAAACATGTTGTTTTTCCACAGCCTGGAACTGCACATCTGTGTGGCATCGCAATCTTATTGTAAACAGCTACTTCTTCAGACCCACTCGCTGCACATCGACTGAACACCTGTGGGCGTGACAACGATGCGATGATGCAGAATTAGGCGTAGTTGTCTTGCGCTGGAGGCAGTCATATGCAAACGACTGGTGCTAGGTGACGTCTCCTTGCCTCATAGGATCCACAACGAGCCGTATTTGGAGCTTGATTAAATAAATGCTTCGTTTATAATGGGGAGGACGTCTTAAACTATGAAACTTGCAGGAAGTTTTAATGGTACAAAGATCTCTTATATGCCAGAAGATCAAGGGAAATTTGGTTTCTCATGTCATCACCCCTTTAAATTGGAAATGTCTTTTTCAGGTCTTGGTTAAAAAAAGTGGGACCGCCAGTTAATGGTACATTTTTTAGGATTTGTCAAATTCTAACATTTATTTTAAAGGAAATTAGAAGTTAACTTGCTTAAGATTATGCTTAGATTATAGCTAAGCATAGCTAGATTATGCACTTTAGAAAAAAAATGTTTGTGATAACAAATTGAATGGAGCATGAAAATCATTCAAATAGGAAAACAAGAGGTTATAAAAAAGGCCAGACGTACTTAGCTGGAATAAAAATGACAGACTAACCATCTGAATAATGATATTTTACAAACTTTGCATTACATATGTATTCTTAATTTTTTACACTTAGTTTTGATTAGTTGTGGTGGTCTGTTTTTGTTCTATAATGATATACTACAACAATTAACCTTTAGTAAACTTTGAAAAATAGGCCACTTTGTGTTCCATCCTGTCGTTGAAACCACATGATGTTTCTCTCTTAGTAACTGGTTCTTGTGGGCACGTACAAGGGTCTCTACAGCTCATTAAATACATATGCATATTTGCCTCTGACCCCATTACAAGACATAAAAAAAGACAAAAAAGGAAAGTACCAGAGATACTGGATGTTATTATTATTGATATTATTATTATTATTATTATTATTATGTTCTGAACCCTTCAGCTTTGACATATTCATTCTTAAAGGTGACCTATTATGCCCCTTTCTACAATATGTAATATATGTCTCAGGTGTCTCCAGAATGTGTCCGTCAAGTTTCAGCTCAAAATACCACATAGATAATTTAATATACAATTTTGAAAATGCCTATTTTGAGAGGAAGCAGAAACACACTTTTTTTTTGCCCGTATCTTTAAATGCAATTGAGCTGCTGCTCCCCTCCCCCTTTTCCAGAATAGGGCTGTGCCTTTACAGCTCGTACGTCAGATACTCTGATAAAAACCATTTGTTCGGTTTTGATTGTCGTGTCTATCGTGCTGAAATCATGCGTTTTAAACCCCTTAACTGTCACCCCCCATTTTTAAAAATAGGCATGCAGGTGTACTATCCAAACTTAAATTGTTGTAAT